CGCTGGCCCGCTGTCCACACGGCGGCCCTCGGCCCTGCGAGGCCCAGCCTCAGGACGCTGGCAGGAGCCCCAGCCCCAGCGGCTAGAGAGCCCGGGGACGCCGACAGCAGTGGTAAGGGCGGGCAGGCTGGGCTGCGCTGGGCAGGGCTGCGCTGGGCTGGGCTGGGCTGGGCTGGGCTGTGCTGTGCTGTGCTGGGCAGGACTGCGCTGGGCTGGGCAGGGCTGCGGTGGGGGGGCGGCTTCCAGTTCGTCCCCAGGCCTCGTCCCCCTCTGGGTGGGCAGACCCCGGCAGGTGGCCCCATGCATCCTCTTCTGCCTGCCCTAGACCTCCAGAGCAAGCTCCTGGAGGAGCCCCTCCGCCACGCAGACTTCTTCAATGTCAAGGAGCTGTTTTCCGTGAAGAGCCTCTTCGATGCTCGCGTGCACCTGGGGCACAAAGCTGGCTGCCGGCACAGGTGTGGGCCCCGGGGGTGAGGACCAGCCAGCCCTCCCGCCTTGGTCTGCAGAACAGGCCTCTGTGGCTTTGGCGGGCACTCAGTCCCATCAGGTGGGACCCCTGAGCCCCAGAAGGCTCAGTGGTTTTCTTCTCCCGTGCCTGGGGGGGACCTGCGCCTCACGGTTTCCTTCACAGGTTCTGAGACAGCCCAGCACCTAGGAGGATCTCGTAGCCTGTTCTAGGTGTGGAGAGAGGGGTGCTGGTTGGGACGGGGGGGGCAGACCATGGTGGAGGGAGTAGTGGCTCAGCTCTGGCACTATGGCTGAGGATTGAGGTGACAAAGCCTGAAGGGACCTGGCTGGAGTCCAGGCACTCAGAAAGGGCTGCCAAGTGCGCTGGGTGCAAGGAGCAGCGAGGGCCCTCTCTGAGCTGTGTTTGAACATCCAGATGTTTGTGTGGCCCCTATTCCGATGTCCCGGGCCAACAGGGAAGCGGGGGGTAAGACCACCTCCATGGCCCCATTCAGTCATCCCTGGACATGTGGACATGTCCTCACAGGGGAGGGAACTTTGTTCCCAGCCTGCAGTGGCCCTGCAGAGGGCCTGGGTTGCTGGTAGGTGCCTGTGGGCAAAGACGGGGCTGGTGATATCACCCCCTGAACCCTGATCCCACCCGCCGGGGTTGCCCGCAGGTTCATGGAGCCATACATCTTCGGGAGCCGCCTGGACCAGGACATCATTGACCTGGAGCAGACGGCTGCCCACCTCCAGCTGGCCTTGAACTTCACCGCTCATGTGGCCTACCGCAAGGGCATCATCCTGTTCGTGAGCCGGAACCGGCAGTTCACACACCTGATCGAGAACACAGCCCGCAACTGTGGCGAGTACGCCCACACCCGCTATTTCAAGGGCGGCCTGCTGACCAACGCCCCCCTCCTCTTTGGGCCCACAGTCCGTCTGCCGGATCTCATCATCTTTCTGCATACACTCAACAATGTCTTTGAGCCCCACGTGGCTGTGAGGGACGCAGCCAAGATGAACATCCCCACTGTCGGCATCGTGGACACCAACTGCAACCCGTGCCTCATCACCTACCCTGTACCGGGCAATGATGACTCCCCTGCAGCCGTCCACCTCTTCTGCAGACTCTTCCAGACGGCCATCAAGCGGGCCAAGGAGAAGAGGAGGCAGATGGAGGCCTTGTATCGCCTGCAGGGCCTGGAGGGGACTGAGGATGGAGGGAGGGCTGGGCCTGCTTCCAAGGCCGATGTCCTCCGTTCCCTGTGATGGGCCTCTGGGGCCCCCGCCTGGCCCGGGTCCCTGGGGAGTGCCTGGCGTGAGGCACTTGGATCCCAGTCTCGGGTGATGGCGCTGGGCTGCATTCACAGGGTGTAGCTGAGCAGCCTCAGGCTGCTCTGCAGCTCTGTGCTAGGCAAAGCGTGTCCCTGGTGGCTGCTGGTTATAGTTACAGACTTGAACCTGGCACCTTCTCTAGGAACACAGGCCTCTCCTCAAGAAAAGTCCCCCTCCTGTCTTGACATTGGACTTTGTCAGGCTCGGCACAGGTTTTCTTCTCAAGCCTGGACAGGCTGGTTGCAGTGTTCTGTAATGTGTTGCAGTACAAACCCTGGGGAGTGGCCAGCCGGGCTGGGCAGCCCGAGGAAAGCTAGGCATTGGAGAACTTCAGCAGAAATAAAACTTCCATTTGGAAAGCTGAGGCTGAGAGCTCTTCATTTCCGGGATGGCACATTGCACAGCACTCTCCGGGCATGCTCCTCAGGACAGGCGATGCTTGCTCAGAGCTCCAGTGGGGCTGCTCTTTTTCTCACTGGGGCCAGGAGCCCTCGGCCCGCTGGGCAGGGGAGGCCGCCTGTACATGGGCCAAGTGTGGATGGGTAGTGAGTGCTAGCAGCTGCAGGTACCTGCTGACTATGTGTGCACATGCGTGGTGTGTGGTAAATGCATATGTACCAGTACTGGGGCTTGAACGCAGGACTTGATAGTCTCGTTTGGCTGGTATGTGTGTGTGTGTGTGTGTGTGTGTGTGTTGCTTAAGGTTGATGCTCTTCCACTTGAACCACAGTTCTACTTTGAGGTTTTTGCCAGTTAATTGGAGATAGGAGTCTTGTGGGCTTTTCTGCCCTGGCTGTCAGCAAACCTCGACCCTGGATTACAGGCATGAGCCACTGGTACCAGGCAGCCTGCTAACTCTTAAAAGTCTCTCCTTGGACTTGAACTGTGAGCCTGGAATTGGCAGCTAAGACGACCCCACCTGGTTCTCGGGATTCCACCCCATCCTGCGGCTGGCCATGGCGTGGCTCGGCCTGTCCCAACAGGGCAGTGTGGTGGACTCCTGCCGTCTTGGGGGCTGACCTCTGGTTTGAATCCATGCCTGGCACAGCCACTCAGTCAGGAGGATTACAGGTGGGAACCTGTTGGCTGCCGTTCAGAGCTGCTCTCAGATGAGACCCCTACGGCGGGCCCCTGTCGAGGAGCCCACCTGGCCCGGCCTCCAGCTGGGGGGCTTCACAGCCTAGCCAGACACCCAGCATGGTATCGTGAGCCTTGCCTGAAAAGTGAGTTGTGGGACCCTTGGCCTATCTGAGGGGCCAGAGCTCCCCACAGCCCAGCCGGGTGTCTCTTCAGGTGACCCCTCCTGCCGGCCGCCTCTAGGAATGTTCAACATGGAGAAGGGCGAAGAAGGCCCTGGGTGATCCTGGGTGCTGGGCATGTGGACATCCTGTGGCCCTGTGGTAAAGACAGGCCCATCTTGTGCAGCCTCCGGCGTCAGGGTTCCGTTCCTCCTTTCCTCTATATCTGTTCACTCATTTGCCAGTCAGCAAATACCAGTCCCTGCCACGTGCTCAGCCCTGTGAGCTTGAGTGCTGTGCTCCCTAGTCCTGGAGTTACATCCGCGGGAGACAGGAGCCGGGCCTGTATGTAGAGGCGAGTGCTGGGAAGTGAGCCGCCTCCACTCAGCTCCCCTCCCTGGGGCCCGCGGTGCGGACAGGTGCCAGGGCCAGAGCCACCTGGAAAGTGTCAGGGCTGCCTAGCGCCCACCACACCCCCACACCACACAGGCCTGGCGTAGTGTACACATGCATTCATGCCAGCAGTCTAGCCCACACCTGCTGCCTGAGCGGCGGCTGCTCTGTAATGGGCATTTCTTTTTCTTCTTTGGCTCCCCCAGTCTGTCCCTGCAATCCTGTTCAAACCCAGTGAGGCCTGGTGGTGGTGGTGGTGTGGGCCTCGTCTGGCACCTTTGACTCAAGGACTGCAGCATGACCCTCCGCCCAGGATCCAGGCCTCCTGCTACACAGTGCTGGCACTTGTGGGGCATCTTGGAGAGGGACAGAAGAAAGCCACCACACCCAGGGCAGGGTTCCCAGCCCCAGCCCTCTCAGACCCCTACCCGTAGATCAACTGAATGGGGAGGGGCTCCCAGGTCCTAGCTCTCACTCACCGTCTGGAGGGACGGCCCCTCTACCCACTGCGCTGGGGACCCGCCCCCACCGGGGACCCAGGGCCCGTTTCCCTCAGCATTTCAGGAGAGAGGGAGAAATGGCTGCAGGTTTGGTAAGAGACAACCCTAACCCAGTGTCTCATCTCCTTGCTCAGAAGAGGGGCCGGGCCACTTTCATTCTTCAGCCATTCCACTGTGGCCCCTCGAACCCTGTGGAAGCCTAAGTCCAGGATCAAGGTGAGGGCTGGGCCGGAAGAGCGAGGAGACAGCTCACCTCAGGGCTCTCCGGCTCGTCAGGCGCTCTCCAGGCCCTGAGACATTGGCCTGGGGCCCTGAACTTGCCAGCCAAGGGGTGCAGTGGGCTTTTCTTCATCTAGCCTGGCCTGGGCTGCAGGACGGTGGGTTCAGACGAAGAGTGAGTCCTGGTTGCTGCTGTCTTCTGGTGAGTGAGGAGTGAGCAGTGAATGAATGACAAAAGAGGACTATCACACGGGGTTCCAGAGGGGCTGGGCGGGTCCGGAGCCCACCAAACCTGCCATCTGTAAGGCCCACTTTGGCATGGGGAGAGTTAGTTTTCTGATGATACGAGATGCAGAATAACAAAAAAGTCTGGCACACGGGAGACTGGTGCTCAGGGTGAAGTCTGGACTCCAGTTCTCACAGGCAGCCCAAGAACTCCGGCCAGGGCTCCCTGAGCAAGGCAGCACAGCTGGTACATGTCCCCTGTGAACCAGGGGAATCCTGAGGTGTGACTTTCCCAAATTATGAAACATTTTTCTCTGAATTTGGACGGCAGCTACAGCTCAAAGACTGATTCCTGTAAGTCTGATTCCTGCATAAAGGGCTTAAATAGGTGTTATTTGCCAAGCAATGGACAGCTGTGATCACCTGAATCCAGTCACCGAGAGCCATCACCTGCCAGCACCCGCTGAGGGCAGCAGACATCCGGACATAGGCTGCCACCTAGTGTCCAGATGGGAGAAGTAACACACTCTGGGAGCCAGACCAGAATTGAACAGGTCAGCTCTACCCTTACAGGAATTCTGGTCTCAGCAAATGCTGTCTGACCTTGGGAACGGAGGCATGTTTCCCAGTAGTCTGGCATGCAGAACAGCTCAGCTTGGAGCAATTCTGGATGAGCATCAGAGGACTGACCTTGATACCCGGGGGCCTCTGGAAGGGATTGCTTCTGTTGGCAGGTGCACGCACTGGCTCCCTGGGGCCCGCGGGACCTCCTGAGGGGTGTTCCCTACCTGGTTTAAGTTTGTGGAGTCCCTGGGTCTGGCCTTGGGGCTGCCGGCATCTCCCTGGTCATTGTTCTTTAACAGAGAGGCAAGCGAGACAGGACACCGCTATCTCTGTGGGCTGGGCGCTGGTCCAGCTCACACCTGGTCCCAAACTGTCCACCCGGCCACAGGGGGGATAAATCTCACTTAACCACAACACCTGCCTGGAAGGGGCCCGTGAAAAGGTGGGGGACGAAGACAGAAGATGCCTCCACCCCTGCGCGCCATTCCCACCAACGATGTACACGATGAGTTCAGTCCTTTCTATCCCCTCCCCGTAGGCACTGGGGTTTGATTTGGTTTGGTAAAAATTATTCTGACAAAGGGTAAGATAGAACCTCACGGTGGTCATTATCTTACCCATGTTTCTCTGGACCTTGTCTGTTTCTTTCTGTATTCCTGAAGTTTTCTCCCATGCTGTAGCCTGGCTCTTTAGTCTCATTCCCTGTGTCAGGCAGAGTCTTTAAACCTGAATTAGTCTCATGATCAATTCTTGTTCTTATTCCTCAGCTATGGGAACTCCATTTAGGAAGCCATTGCCTGTATCTGTGCTGTGGAATCCCCTCTGTCTGTAACTTCAAGCAATCCCATCTTCCATGGAGACTTTGGCACATTTTGAGGTGTTTTTGTACAGGGTGAAGGACAGGATGGAACACAGGGTCTGAGCATCATTTATGTAAGAGACTGTCCTTTTCCCAGTGCGTATCTGTACTACCTTTGCCAAGGCTCTGGAGGTTTGTGACTGAGGGCTTTTTTCTGGGCTCTCTAACCACTAGCACACATATCTCTTTTGTGACATGTCTGTTAAGTTTGTTACTCCAGCTCTGTGGTATATTTTGAAACCAGGTGTTGTGATATGTCCAGCGAAACTGTTTTGATCATTTGGGTTTTTTTTTTAATGGCATGAACATTCAGATTGCTTATTGTCATCCTGCAAAGACCATGTTTGATATTTAGATAGTGATTGCATTGAATCTTCACGCTGCTCTTCACAATGCTATGTTAATTTTTGTATATCCACATTGGAAATATTTACATCTTCCATTTTCTTCAGCATTTTATGATTTTCCCTACATAGGACTCCTTCCTCCTTGTTTATTGCAAATTATTTGGAGATATTGTGAATGACATTGTTTTCTTGATGTAAGAGTTCATTATTTATTTCCAGAAAACCTACCATATTGGCAGAACAATTTCTTGTAGCGCAATAAAAGCTGTTGACATTGTTTTGGAAAGGGCAGAAATGGAGAGAGGAGAGAGTGAGAGGGGATGAGATTGAATGGAATACATTGTAAAACATAGAATTGTAACAGAAAATCCTCTTCTGTATAACTAATGTAAGCCCCCACAAAAAACGAGTACCAAAGTCATGGGTACAAGTCTGCCAACCCTACCGTCTTAGAAGATGTCTTGTGAACTGCAACCATTGAAATGCTAGCTAAATGCCACTTGCCAGCATTTGCAGAAAGGTGCCAGACCAACAGGAGTCTGATAGCCAGGGCACTGGTGGCCAGTCTGCTCAGTATCAGCCCATGCGTGCATCAATCGGAACTCGGGTTCAGGCTTACATGACTGAGTTTGACAGGGGATCCAAGTGTTTCCCAATAGATTGCCACTAGAATTCTCAGCCAAAGCAGGAGCTGTTCACGAAAAACACTTTGTTCATAACTATATGAGCTCAATTAAAATAATTCCTCACTTCCCAAGATTTTATACAGTTGACCTGAAGAAAATGTAGGTTTCCTTTGCATAACAAATGGTTATGTGAACTAATACGTAAGAGAGGAACTTCTCACACAGGAAGAGAATGGGTAGAGACAGGTGAGAAGGGCCAGCATGGCAATGTCTACGCCCTGCCGGTCCCTTGCTCCCCTGACGGGTGTGCATGTGTGACCGCCCCCACCATGGGCACAGGATGAGGCATGAACAGGGCACTC